TTCTTTCTGTCCATACCTTACTGAAGTAAAGAGCTACCAGATACATCACGACATAATTTACTGTTACTTACCTTAAATTATAGCAGAAAATGTACATGTAGGCACTGGACTCGCTTCATTGACCGTGAGAATACAAGTCTCATGTATTGAAAATGCTATCACGCAGTAGTGTTAAATTACCTCGTAACCAAACCCAGACAAAATCAATGGATAACATATAAGCAACTGTGGGAACTTACTACTTATAGTTAGTACCTCGTACTTCGAATCAAATCTTGATCATCACACTATGCCAATAATAAAGGTTTGTTTATAAATAAAAACCCCACATGTAAAGCTATTATATCTTCCAATAGAGGTGCATTGAGAATCATAAATTTTATTGGGGAATGTTTGAACATTGCACAGGATGCTTCAAAACTGTTGCACAAGGCGCCCAATGTGTGTATTCTGCAATTGGAATATCAAGGCTATCCCTACGTGCAAACACCATTTATTCTGAACAGCGTTCGTTGATTCACACATTTTCTTGCACACTGATATACATGTTATTCACACCACCATATTTTTGAAAGAAGGCAAATTAAAAGCAATGCCAGTTTGCAAGAAAAGCGATTTTGGTATGCAGTATAGTATACAGAGCCGGATTAAGGACTTGGGGTGGGGAATTTTCTAGGGGGGGGTCGTCTTTAGAACGGAACTCCGTAAATAATTTAAATACAGTTCTTTACTATATTAACTACAGTTTGAGCGATACGTAAACACAAGCGATGGGTTGATAATATACAAAATACTAATTCTAATATCTATACTAAAGTAATTACAAAATAATAGGATTATATGAAACCACTAAAACCACTGTTCTTATAGTGTCACAGTTGCAAACGTGTTTTTCAGAGACATCCTGTTCTTAATTTATTTTTATTTTTTTCGTTATCAGGGAGTCTAGGGCAATAGCGCCAGCTTCTTCCCCCTCCCCTTCTTCAAGCTTCCCCGAATACAACAGTATGCTTCTTGTGAAATTTAGTTTCACTAAAACAATTAATTTTAAAGCCATAATGATTTTAAGTGTGGTGTTTTGTTGATAACTACTCTACATATTTAGGTATGCTGTGTTCAAATACGTGCACATCGGCCATAGCAATTAACTTTCTATTTTCCAGCCTCAGAATAGTGCCCTACATAATAACAACAAGAAAGGCTTGATGTCGACTCTTAAACACTCCTGAGAATAAAAGCTTTTAAAAATACACCAGTTGGAGTAATGATCTTATTTGAGCAAACAATCATTTAATAGAAGTTACACTAAGCTTTTGTAACAGGAAATAAATTGATCTGATTCCTTAAAACTCCGGGCTGTGTTTAACTTTAGGTAAGAAAGTTTCTTCCATTGCGATTCTTTATATGATAACTATAAGGCAAGGACCTTTTGGTTGTGTTGCCGTAAGATAATTTCAAAATGTCGGAGATTTGTTTGTTATACTGAAGGATTAATGTGCTTTGCTACTACATAGAAGACACTTCAGTTATAAATTGATTATAAATTCGTTTAATAATTAATTTAAATAATTTATTTTACCTTGGATATTAATTTACATTTTCAAAAAAGAAGCTGAATTCAAGCTCGTTCTCATTCAGCAACTATTTATTTTGAAAATGTTAAGATTCTACCGAAATTACACTGATCACTGAACAATACAAAAGGCTAAAACACTGTTGATGACTCATATCAGACTATTAACACGAGACTGTCACTGACGTCATAGAAGTCTTTGTATAGTGTGCATTACGTCATGAATTCTTCCTGACTCTGCTCAACTTATGTCAGACGCGAATATCGACAAATAAGTGTCGTGTCTGTTTGGATGTGTTTCATACGCAGTACAACCAGACAGGTGTACAGAGAGACAGACAGACAGATAGTTAGTTAGTTAGTTGCATCATATATGAACAGGGCTTACGCTTAACTGTATTTTTGGGGAGCCACCCGGGCCCCCAAAATATGCAGTTTTAGGGGCCAATTCTATAGCTTATTATAAAATGTACTCAATAGGGGAGGTTATCAGAAAAATCACTGAATTAAATAGCGGATGTTATGTAAATTGAAAGAAAACTAAAGATATCAACATATCTCAATTTACTTTGTGTACTCGTATTTCATGAAAATAAAGTCAAACCAATTCAATTTTTTTCAGACCACTTAAATTATTTTGATTCGTATATGATTTTTAATTTCTTCCTAAAGCATGGTATCGTGGTAACTTTTTGTTCCCCTAGTAGTATCCTTTAATAATTAAAATATATAATGAAAGAAAATCTTTGCATCAGTGTCATCTATTCTTGTTCCCATATAGCGCATCTAGCTGACACTTTTGATGGAGACATGGAAAAATCATACAATATACATCACCACTAACTTTATAACAGTCAGTTCTTTCATATCCTGAAACAGCTGTTAATTAGTTGTTTGAATTTGAATTTGTAATAAGTAAAATCCTCAAATTAGCAACATATGGAAAACATGGAAATAGCCCTAAAATGGCTTGGGTGGTGATGAGTTACTTAAATTAGTGTCCTTTGCTAATCAAAATAAATAATGAAAGGAAATCTAATATGCATCAGTGTCAATGATCGATGTTGTCCCAACATCCATTTCTTGGATTCTTCCTTCGTCACTCTCCTGCACCTGCTTCTCAATCTGAATCCTACCAGTATTTGATCTCCTTGTGTGAAGTGATCCTGAGTTCCAAAGACGGATAACTGTTATGGGATCAAATTCACTTATTGAAGGTGAGCGGAGTATGACCAAAAGCTGATTCAGTGATCCTGTCAGCTCCCAGACAATATCCCAGATTTTGTCTTGATCATCTTCATGAGTCCTCTCGGGAGTTGGCTGGTACAGACAGCAGTAGGTCAAAGAGGCCACAGATGTTAGGTAGCTTCTCCGTAACTCCATGGCTAGCATTTCTTACGTAATGAAATAGATGTGGAAAATTTATGAGAGACCATCAAAAGAATTGTATTATTATTATTCCTGTTTTTAAATCATTATTTTGTGTTCGTTTAAAGTTATTTTATATTATGCAGTGATTTACCGATAATCAGAATCAGTAGAATTTCCCGATTGCCGAGAAATTATAACACCCCTTTATTCACAATAAAAAAATCTTCTGATTTATAAGTACGTTTACAATGATAACCCCGTACTTTTTCATTTTTATTTCGATACAAAACACGCAATATTATTCACCATATAATAAAATATCATCAGTTAAAACAATCTCTGCTTGTTTCTTATTTATTTACACAAGTTTATTCACTGAACGAAAGAAAGGTTAAGAAAGCAATGCTCATCACATAGCGAAGCACGCCCATTTCTTTACGTACCGAACATTAGCATACGGTCGATAACAGCACTGAGGTAATGCACACTGTGTGCTTGATGAAGATCTACGCGGACGTTTCCCGCGAAGTTCTCGGGGTGATACGCCATGTGGCTCCCGTTAGTACCACACTGTGTATTAGTTCATTGTTTGGGAGGTCGCCGAAGAGCGCATGACAACAGAACGATTGGAAATTCGGAATGTCCCATTATTTTCCAATAGGGTTTTTTGTCAATTATGTGAATTGCGCATGTCACTGTCGGTAATTTCACTATAAGCTGAAAGCAGTAAACAGGTCCCTTCCCGCCCTTCCTTTCAGAACGTTCCACTAACTGTCTCCCATCTGACTCGCTAGACCCCTGCAAATCGATACCTCCGCCGACTCTCCGTCGCCTGTCCACTAGCGAAGACGAAGAATCAAACCGAGATAGAACCACACCCAACCAACTAGAATCTTTCAACTACATCCTATTTATAAAACAATTCCTGCTTCACTAGCCAACCAACGACAATGACTCCCACGCCTATCACTCCCTTCTTCTTCATTCCACTTCAGTACCTCTAGTTTAACCGCACACTGGTCAGATGAGATATACGGTGCCTGATCAGTGAAAATGGCTTTTCTCAGAGTACTCCCGTTTCCTTCCCACCGCTGAGTCCCTAGACATTGGATTATTAGATTCTCGCCACCCTGAAGGACCATGATTCTGATAATGGCCGTTGTTTTTAAGAAAAATGAACTGACGAACGACATAAACCTATAATTTTCCATGCATAACCCCTCACTTCCACCACGAACGGGGTAAAGAGAAGCAATTGCTTCTGAACGCCCCCGGTTTAACCCGAGGGAAACCTCGGGAGAATTTAAATCGAAAGACCTGCCACGGACAAAAAAAACAAAAGTGTACTCAAATATTTACAAAGTAAATAACCTATTGGACCGCTGTAGAACATACCATTTCATCATTCGACAGTCCCGTTATGTATGAATATACATAGCCCCAAGAACTTATGGCTGAATGAATGATGAATTTAGGCAATGAACCGCAAAAATTTGTTTGTTTCTCACAACGTTATCAACATGTCAGTCCCAATTTATATTTTCCACTCGTTCAAATAAAAAACCGAAAATATATCGTGATTTATTTTTATATTTTGCATTACACATTTATTGACAACTTCAACCATTTCAAATTTAACGAAGCTTCAAAGTACATTCTCTGTAGTAGTTACAGTTTTTAAGGTTGAACTGTCAACAATAATACACAATGACATTATCACCTTTAGCATAGTCGGGTTGATTGTGCGCTGTAATAATCGACAACTGGTTATTTACGATTGTGACATGATCGTTAAACAGTAATATTATGTTTTTGATTTTGCCTGTGCAGTCTGTAAAATTTGGATTCAAAAGTGTTTGCCCTAACATGCATACATTTACAAACAATGTGCGTGCGGTAAGGTAGCTTCTCCAAACAACAAACAAGTTTTCCATTTATACTTGCCTGTTTTCGGAAAGTGTTAACAGAAGAAAAACAAAAACTTGTGTTCAAATGTGTGAGCCTTGATCATGTTGATGTAGACTTGATGTCATATATAAATAGTTAAAAAGTGGCATTCTGACTGAAAACAATATTCATCTTTATAAAAGTTCAAATAATCACTGCATTTCAAATCTTATAACTGAAATTTTATATATCAATTCCATTACACTGATACAGAAAGTTTGAATATTGGACAAAGTGATGGCATTCTTATTAATGAAAGTTCATTTACTGTGAACACACGAACATTCATAGTAACGACGTTCGTGGATTGTACTTAACTGACGAGTGTTCGTAAATTTGGGAAGGTCCATTCGTGGTTTATCGTAAACATTAGATGTGGAGTTAAACTTTTAATGTGTCTTTTGATTTTAAGTGACCACTGGCTCTCAGGCCCCCGCTATTTTCGAGCCCTGATGACGTTTCTCGTTATTTCTAGACTTATTTAATTTGACAGTGTAGTCTTTTCCATTACACAGTTTCAAGCTTACATCGGTAATATATAAATAAAATAGAATGCAGATATAAAATGGGAATGATTTATTTACTCGTAGAAGCTCAAGCGGTGCCGCAAAAGTAAATGTAAATACTTAACACTTATGTTCTCCTTTTTTGTAATAATACAGATTGCTCTAGGTTTAATTGCACCAATCTTAAATCTTTTGTGTGTGTGTGTGGATAACATTTGATTAGTAACACCGAAACTTGTTGATCCTTTGTTGGCTCTTGTGCCATGCTTATGTATTATTTACTTATATTTGTTCACTAATCTGAAACGGACAACGGTGATATATCTGTGATGTTCCCATCACGAGTATCGAAACCCGATTTTTAGCGTTGTAAGTCTTCAGACTTACCGCTGAGCCATTGGGTTGGGGGTGGGGGCGATAAAAATGAAAGACAGTTTACTGCGCTTGAGCAAGCACCTTTTTGGCCACCCTGTATGTTGTTAAAAACGTTCTATTTTAATGTGCCTGTTAAGAAACTATTTTTGAGTCGCACAGAATATGAAAACTATTTATGAATTCTAATTAGAACAACAGTGTTCCCTACAAGAACACTTAAGCGAATGGTGAATATATAGTCTTATGGGATATTAAATGTATAACGAATTATTTACAGTGCATTCCACATTCTCTGAAGAATACTTATGTTAGATAACGAACATAACAAACTGCACGTTTCCTTATTGCAGCTTGTAAAATATTAGCGTATGTATCAGCCGGAAAATCCCATAATAACAACTACTACTTTGAACCAACGATTCATTTTACGAAGGTTAACACGAGTTGGTGGACATTTTGTTTTTCCTTTTTAAAACTTAAATCTTTAACAGTGTGAAAGCGACACTGACGGCGAGAGTTTAAATCACGGAACAAAGCTACATTGATTGTTAAAAACAAAACTTGTTATCTTCACAACCCCACGATTAAATTTATTGTTGTCAGTTGTTATTTATGTTACTATGGTTGCCAATAATAAAAACACTTAACGCACTGTGTTTGTTTGTTTTTGAATTTCGCGCAAAGCTACACGAGGGCTATCTGCGCTAGCCGTCCCTAATTTAGCAGTGTAAGACTAGAGGGAAAGTCAGCTAGTCATCACCACCCACCGCCAACTCTTGGG